CTTGAGTAACATAGATCTACAGCACACTTTAAAAGTTCTAAGACTGCCTCTTTCTCTTTTTTATTGTACTTCTCTAGCCCTGCAATAGAAGTGGTAACTAAGGACACCGAGTGAGGCAAGACCACAAGGAGCATTAAATACCATGTGGACTTAGCGAAAGTATGCCCCAGGCTTGGCACTTCTCTAATGGAAGACACACTTTCACCTTCTATTCTCTCTCCCCTTACCTAGTCCACACACACAGCAGGATCTAGGGCCCCAATGGATTCAGCCCTTGAAGTACTGCTTTCAACAGGCACTGACCAAAACTTAAAACTGATTACATACACAAACTGGAATCTCAGAGACCTGTAGATTTCCTCATGAGGACAGCTGCTCTCCTCCAGTCCTAAAAGGAAGTACAGAGGATTTGTTTCCCCTTAGTAGTTCCAGAGAAAAGGGAAATGAGGAGGCTGAAGTTCAAGTTTACCAAAGGAAACATGGGGAAGAGGGCTGTGCAACCTAGAGCCCAGGCACACAAAGACAGGCTTCCCAGCAAGCACAAAACTAAGCCCCTCAGCAGCTGCAAAGCTCTGTCTTAGCACTGACCATGCTGTCTAAGTTCAGACAAAAACTGCCTCTAGAAGGAAGGAAGCATATTCTTAAGTAAGCTGTGTTTCTGAATCCTGACCTAATCAGCCTGAATAATCCCCTCTAATTAGAGAATGAGTAGATCTATTTTGTTGGTTCTTATCACACTGATATTTATTATGATAATTATTAACAATTTTACAATAACATGTTTAAATGGAGTTTTATAATGTTCAAAGTGTGCCTAGAGAAAACAGGGCAAACAGGACAAGTACTTTGTTTTCTTTGTTGTCATGTGCTGGTAGGTCTCCTGTGACTCATAGTGACCCTATGTACAACAGTTCTGAACTCTGCTCTATTCTGAGCCAACTGCATTGTCTCTGACACATCTACTCGCATAACCCCAGTCACTGAATCAATCCACCCCATCCAGGGTCTTCCTCTCTTGCGCTGACCTTCCACCCTTTCAAGCATGATCTCCTTCTTCAGGGACTGGTCCCTTCTAGCAAGTACTTCACACCTGTTTAACAAGTGAAGTGAATAAATAGCCTATTAAACTTGTCCCAGGTCACGCTCAGACCAGAATCACATAAATATAGCAAGTACTAGATAGCTAAGAAAACATCAAACCCTGGTGAATATCTACAGATAAAACCCTGTCATTTAAAAATATGCACACGTACAAAGAGATGTCAAAGTCATACATTTGAAAACTAATTTAAAGGGCCAGATCATTCAATTATTCTTTCTGACATTTTATTAAGAAAGATGATCAGTTTGAATTGAGTTTAAAATATTGTTCTATCTTACTCATAAAAAAAAACCACACACACACACACACACACACACACAAAATATAAACCACAAACCAGTCACTAATTCCTATCAATTCTTTCTAGTCTTGTTGAGTCAATATTCACTATAACTGGCGACTGACATAACATTTAGAGTCATATAACAGTGTTAATGTCATATAACACTGACATTACACACAAGTGGTCTGGAGTTAGTCTGCAGCCCTGAGCAAGTGCTGCCCTCTAGTTGCACACTCGTCCCCAGCATGGGTGGGAAGATCCAGAGGCGGCTGAGTCTCCAAATATTTTTCACTGTACTTTCAGCTTTATAAACATGTTTTAAATAGCATATATACATATTTACTAAATCCCCTCTATATTACATGTATAAGGAAGCTCTGGTGCCCTAATGATAAGAAGCTGTTGTGCTGTAAACCCAAAGGGCACAGTTGCTCAACGAGAGGAGAATGGACCATCTCCTCCTGTATGATTTACTCCCTCTGAAAACCTGATGCTATGAGTTGCTCCTGACTCAACAGCACACAACAGCAACAAACAACAAGCCGAATCTACCATTAAAATTACGTATTTATGAAGCAGTCAAAATGAATTACTTAAAAGTGTGAAGTGTTTTTAAAAATACAATCTAAATGTGAATAGAGATTGACACAATAACTGATAATGGGGTAGGTGTGTCAGAGACAGTGAGATTGGCTCAAGATAGGGCAGAGTTCAGAGCTGTTGGGCATAGGGTCACTAAGAGTCTTGGGTGACTTGATGGCACATAACAATCTAAATGTAAACTCTAATAATTTCCTCTTACACTGCAATGGCTAATTCCAAATAGTTCATTTTAGAGGCAATCACTTTACAGAGAACCCCACGGTGTGATTTTATTCAGTAATATCACAACATAGTTTCCACTCTTGACAAGAAAAATTACACCCTAATTATCATTTCCTTCTCAGAGTGCTTGTGGGTAACTGAAGTCTCTGTAAGTGAAGAGGCAGGAATTTTGAAGTTGGATAGTTAATTTACTAGAATGTAGTCAACTTAACGACAAAACTGAGGCAGTTTTCAAAAAGTGGCTAAGCTCTCTCCTGGGAGCAGTCTGTTACTGTATTAGATGCTGTGGAGTGTGTGCCGACACCCAGCAGCCCTGTGTGCAGAAGCATGACACCCTGCCCAGTCCAGCACCATGCTCAGACTCTACTATGCTCGCTCTCATTGTCACAGCCACCAGGTCAATCCAGCTCTTTGAGGGTCTTCCTCTCTTTCCTTGGCCTCACACCTTTCCTAGCCTTCCTTTTCCAGGTCTCTTCTGCATGAAGTATGTAAAATAATGTATTACCATCCTTGTCTCTAAGGAGCAAGCTCTCTGGCTCTCTTTCTCCCAAAACAACTTGTTTGCTCTTGGGTAGCCCATAGTATATTCACATGCTTCACCAAAACTATGATCCAAAGACAATTCTATCACAGGCCTCTTCATTCATTGTTCAGCTTTCATATGTATATGAAAATACTGAAACTACCATGGCTTGGATCAGTCTTCAAATCTTTTGTGCAAGAAAAAGAACAATCCAAAAGAACATCATGGAGAATCTCAACATCAACAAGGAAGCCGCAAGTGATGTTCCTGGGGCCAAAGGTTCCTGCATCCCTCAGACGGAGGCCACAGGAGCAGCAGTAGCAAGCTCAGCTGATAAGACAAGACCCAGCAAGACTCAGAGACAGAGGTCTTCACCTGCATTTGCTGGAGGACTGTGGAAAAAAGACGCCTTATCTGCCAGGACTAACAGGACTGTGAGACTCAGACCTATGCAGTGAAGCTGAAGGTCAAAGGGCCTGTAACCACACTCAAAAAGCTTTCTAGACTGAGGGATTGTGTCCTGCTGCCAAGCTGAGTTATAGCCTGTTAACTTCCCCAATGAACCCCATTTACCTTGGGGGTGGAGGGGAACAGATAAAAGAGCACCATGAACTTTGAGTACCCCTGTATCCCTTTCAGATAGCTCCCTTCAATATCTTAAAAAGCTTAGGACTCTAAAAGTTGTTTTGGTTGGTTTTGTTGTTGTTTTTAATCTAAGGGAATGTATGTTACAAACAGAAAACTTAAAAGATTTCCATTCCAAAATAAAACAGCAGCACTCCAAACTGCCTTGGTAAGCAAAGAACTATGCAGTAGACATCCTGCTGGTCTGTTGAAGCATTTCTACTCAACAGAAGTATTTCTACTGAGATTCCTAAGAAGTTGGAAAATATACTTAAACTGTACTACATTCAGCATTCTTGGGAGACTAGCTGACATGAACCGCCTTGAAGCATCTCTTTGAGAACAGCCTTCTCATTCTCAATTGTTGTCCAACTGAAAATGACACACAGATGACACTCCAATGGGTTTTTGGAGGCTAAATAAAGCAGAATGACACTGCCCATCTTCCCCCGTGGAATGGTTGGTGGATTCAAAGACCCAGAGAGTTGCAACCATTCAGCCAGCAGTGTAACTTCCTGTGGACAAGGTTACCAAAGCTTCCTCTGAGAAGCTGGGTGAAAATACACAAACTTTGACAAAGCCAACAGGGAAACATGCATCCGGCTCACGTAAAGATAGGAAAAGGCAAGGCTTTATGTTGCTATTATCTCTTGCTTCCACACATGCATTTCCAAAGGTCAGTTTGGCATTCACCCCTCAAAGGCAGTCTGCTGGTGAGTGCTACAGAATCCGCCTCACTCGCATGCAGTGACCACATGGAGTAATGCTACTCCTTGGTGTTTTTTGGGCTGTAACTGTTACAGAAGCAGAGTGCCAGGTTTTCTCCTCAGAGCTGCTGGTGAGTCTGAATTGCCAAGGTTTCAATTAGCAGCTGAGCACTTAATAGCCAGTGTGCCAGCAAGACCAAGGGGAGGTAATGCATTTTCAAATTCACCTCTGCCTTTCCTGAGCCTTGGTGGTGTAGTGTGTATAACACACACAAGCCACAAGATCAGCAGTTCAAATCTATCAATGTCTCCAAGTATAAGGGAGAAAGGAACATAAGGATCTACAGCCTTGGATACCCAGTGAGGGGTTTGTGATGAGAAGGAATCAACTCAGTGGCAGTGGGTTTTCCTTTGCCCAGCACAAACCAGATATATCAGGTAGTTTTCACTATGAAAAGACAGATAAACGTTTTAAGTCCCCACAAAGTTGAAGGGGGGGAACCCTGAAAATTCTATGTTTATACATTTACTTACTAATGAAATCATCTATTGTAAGTAAAGATAAAATAAATTACACTGAGGAATTTTCAAACACCAATACCGTAATATTCAAGTATAGCACTCCCTTGGATGCTAAATATCACATTCCTCCTACACTCAAACCAAGCAACTGCATAAAATATAATCACTAGATGGAGAATATTCTGTCCAAAACTAAATTATATGAACTCATGGCAACAGGACTCTACCAAACATCTTCCCCATCAAAAGGCCCAGTCAGGCCAGTCCAGTGGTAGTTTAATTTTAATAATACACTAATTTTGTCCAGCCACAGAATGCAAATATCTAATGATACTGCACTTTCTAGAAAAGACTTCATCAGGATTTGCTGAAAAGAGAAAGAACAAATGTTAAGAAGACAAAAATTGTAAAGACCTCTTGATTGTCTTTGTTTTGGTTTGTCCAGAAGATCTTATGATAAAGTGTCTCCATTGAATTGCCAGAATCCGTGCGGTCAAAACAGTGACGATCCAAGACTTCCAGTGTGTGCAAAACACGACTAATGGTGACCCCTAGATATGAAAAAGAAAGCAAGGTGTTAAAGAATCCCAGCATAGTGCAAAAAACATCACTGGGCATGATAAAAGGAATCTTTTCAAACTCTCGTTTTTCATTTTTTTCTAACTGCCTACTAAGTTGAGCACTATTCCAGGCAGTCAGGATCTAGAGGACATAAACTGAAGGAGGTCCGCAGAAGTCCCCAGGCAGCCGCATCAAAAAGAGCTGCCTGACCCACATGAGATTCACAAGAATCAGACCCACAGCATAATGCTCAGCATCCAAAAGCACTCGTTTTCTGCTATGTTTCATACCTGCTGTTGATTCTTGGCACTTGTCAAAGGACCACCGTACTTCCACGGCACGGCCTCTTTGCTTTATCTGCTGCTCTACCTCATAAATCCTTGCTCGAACCTGAAAGAAATTTGTTTCTAATTAACATGTGTTTGGAAAGCCACAATAGTTGTCTAAATCAAGACAGAGGGTGTTTTAGGGTTGCTTTAATGCATGACTAGATTATCCCCAGGTGAACGTCAATCTTGATTGTACTGAAAGAAATAAAGTCTGTGGTCTAAGAAGTGCATTTTTTTTAAAATGTGATTCATTCAGTGGATTTTGGTTTAAAAATGCAACGTACTGCAAGGCATTGGAAGAAGGTATATAACTCACAACCTCGCTCTACAAATACCTTGTCAATTACAAAAGAAGATTTTTTTAAGAGTTTCCCGAAATAACTAAGATTGTCTTCAGTTGAGAATGTTTCTGAGCATATAGAAGATAGGAAGTGACGTGGTAGACCAGTAGTAGCTCCTACTCAGCGTTTTCCAGTATTCTTACTATGTTCTTTTACTTTTGACGGTTTTGTGTCATGACCTCTAATTTTGTTTTACATTCCAATATCCACTGGCTTTTAAATGAAATAATTTCTTTGGTATTTACAGTATTTGGGAGATGATTTGAACATGGCCAGCTATTGTTCCCAAGCAACTATCTGGATTAAATTTGAAATTGAGATCTCATTCTGTGAATGTGATGATGAATTCTTGTGACTTTAAATTATCAATTGTCCTTTACTTCACTGTTCTCTTAAAAATAAAAACAGGCTGCAGATACTTTGGCTGTGAGGCAAAAAAGAAGAATTTATGGTATCACCAAAGTCTTGGAAGGAATTGACCTCTATTTTAAGAGGTGTAGGTGCCAGCTGTAATACTAAGAAGTCATCGATAGATTAAGGTATCTCAAAATGGAAATTGAAGATCTAGAACATGGAGAAGTGCGCGTAGCCGGCTGCTCAAGGACCGTGGACGCCACCTACACGCGTGGATCCTGAAACTTCCGGGGGGAGGGATAAGAAGCGCATTTTTAAACATTTAAAAGTGGTAACCCAGTATCAGTTTTCAGTAATAAATTTTCATGAAAAGAAACAATGCAAAAAGTGTTGGCAAAAGGGAGTTCTGGCAGCCTACTGGCAAGAAACTGCACTGCAATCCCAGAGGTATGAGGTTTGAATCCACCAGATTCTCTGCTGGAGAAGGAGGGGCAATCTCCTCCTGTACCAGTCAGATCTGATTTGACGGTGCACACACAAAAAATAATAAAATAAATAAGTTTTGCCAAGTGCACTTGTTTTCAAGAAATGATCAAAAAAGGTTAACAGTTTTTAGTATCATCTAAGAATCAGTTCTAGAAGTGAAAGTGACTACTAATATTCCATTAATTTAAGAAAATGGCTAATGACCTAGAAGGCTTTGGTTCTAAATATTAATTATAATTTCATGGAGTGTCAAAAGCCCTAAATCTCTGAATCAAATAACCAAGCACTATTAAAGACATGTAATATCTACTAAGCCTCACTAATACTATGGGAATTGTGGAAATAGAGCCACCACAAAAAGTATTGTCTGCGTTGACAGAAATGAAGCCCACCAAGATGGAGGAGGGAAAGGGAATGACTTAATGAACGTCTGTGTGGTTCTGAGGAATAGGACTCTTCCTTACAGTTACCTAGAGAGGTGAGGACAAAGCTGTGAATGGCACCGAACCCCAGAGATGCTAAAACTCAGGCACACTTCACTACCCTCTGATCCTTCCAAAGAATGAAAGCATCCATCTGACACTGAGACAGTGCGCATACCTGCTGGTTGAAAGCTGTGTTCCCACCTGGCATGGGCAGACTGGAAGGGGCCACCTGCAGCAGATCCAGGGGCGAGCCTGGGTTTGCACTCTTATTTTCATTTGTGGAGTAATTCCATACCAAGGCACTTGGGCAACAGAGAGTTACAGTCTAAAAATAAAGCAGGAAAACTTGATACTTAGAGGAAAGAGAAAAGTATAACAGGAAGTACAGCAATAAAAGTGACTATTTTGTTTTATTTTACATTTTCCTTAGCTTAAAATATGAACTTACCTTCATTCTTGACTTTCCAAGTAATGAATAATCTGTGACAGAATTATTTTGAATGGTAGAAGTTGTGTCATTAACTAAAGAAAATTCTAAATCTGTAAACTATTATTCCAGCACAAGAAACCTAGATTAATAAAAATGCAGTAAATATCACTTAAAGCTGTAATTTCTAAGACCATAAAATGTAAAAGGGATTACTGAAAAAATATCCTTTCTGCAGAGTATCTTCACTAATAATGGTGCTGTGAGGAGCTTTAGAGATGCTAGGTAGTCAGTCCCCTTAACCAGGGGTCAGAAAACTTTCCTGTAATAGTCAAGATAACAAATGTGTTAAGCTTTTAGAGATACACAGTAGAGCTTTCTCCCTCCTCTTTTTCTCTCTCTCACATGTGCAATCTATCTCTCTCTCTCTCTCTCTCACACACACACACACACACACACACACACACACACACTTTCCTTTCTCTCTGGAGCCAGAGTCTATGGTTTGGCTGTACTTCTGTTGAGTAGATTTTTTTTCCACTCAAACAAACCTCTGGTGGTCTAGGGGTAAGGAGCTATGCTGCAAGCCCAAAAGCAAGCAGTTCAAATCCACCTGCTGCTCTGAGGGAGAAAGATAGGCAATCTCTTCCCACCCAATTTACTGCCTCTGAAAACCCACTGGAAGGTCAGTTATGAGTCTGTTCCAACTCAACAGAACATGCACTTTCTACAACCTTCTTAATCATACAAAACAATCTCCTAAAGTGGGCTCTCTTAGTCCTTAAACATATCAAAGAGAAATACACACTACAGATGAGATTAGTAACTAGCCCAAGGTTTGACTCAAGACTACGGGCTTCCTTCTAAATGCAGATCAAAATATTGATATGCATACACTCACATAGACACATGCATGCTCAAAAACTCTGTATGTTAACCACTGTCCTGGAAGAATTCAGTCATCAACTTTAACCTCATGAAGTAATGAGAGAAGACCTGTTATCACCCTTTTTTCACATTCTAGAAATATGAGGCTGAAAGTTATAGTTATTAAGTGGCAGGGTAGAGGCTTAAAAGCGTTGGTAGATTCTCAAGTGCATGTCTTCAATATTAAGCCTTGTATTCATCTATCTGTAAACATCACACAGTAAAACAAAACACAGTAAAAGTTTATGAACTGTGGACTGAACTCTATGCTCTGAGCTCCTCTAGTGCAGGGTTGATTCACATTCCTGAGAGTGTTAGTTCAGTGACCCACATGTCCTGGATTCCCAATAGCTGTAAGAGCCATCTCTGGCTTAACAAATGCACAGAGCCTGACAAATGAGTTGATTCTGATGTAACTAAAGAGCAGAGGCAACCATCTCAGAATGTTTGTTATGTGCTGTCATGTCGCCTGTGACCCAGAGTGATCCTATGTACAGCAGCTCTAAACTCTGCCCTGTCCTGAGCCAGTCTCACTAACTCTGACACACTGACCCCCATAGTCCCAGTTACTGTATCAGTCCATCTCACCTGGGGTCTCCCTCTTCTGTGCTGCTTTTCCAGTCTTCCAAGCATGATTTCCTTCTCCAAGAACTAGTCCCTCCTGGCTCCTTCCCCAAGTATGTGAGCCTAAGCTTCAAAATCCTAGCCTCCAAGGAGAAACTTGGTTTTGCCCTCTCCAAGACAGACATATTTGTTTTTGTGGCAGTCCACGGTATGTTCAAGACTCTTCTCCAGCACAATTCGATGGCATCAATTTTTCTTCTGTCATCCCTAGTCATTGTCCAGCTCTCTGATATATAGCAAGTAATTGCAAAGACCATGGCCTGGATTAGGTATATCACAGTCTCTAGATAATGATTGTTACTTTTCAGCACTCTGAAGAGGTCCCTAACAGAAGATCTCCCCAATGCAATTTATCTTTTTTTTTTCAATTTAGTTTGTTTATTTTTCATTTCAATGAACATCTACAGAGATTTTGGAATTCCATTCATTCATTGTTGCACCCTTCTCCCCGCACACCCTCCCCCCCCCCCGTTTGCTCCTCTCCTTGAAAAGCAAAAGAAAAACTCGCTCATTGGTACACAATCCCCCCGCACCTCTCCAAACCCCACCCCCTACCCCCAAATATATCTTTTGATTTCCTGACTGCTGGTGTTAAAGAGTGTTGATTGTGGAGCCAAGCAAGCAGTAAGTAACTGTTAACCTCAATCTTTTCTCCATCTATCATGGTGCTGCCAATTGGCCCAGTGATGAAACTCTTTGTTTTCTTGATGTTGAGCTTCAATCCATAATGAAGACTACAGTCCTTGACCTTCTGTAGCAACCGCTTCAGGTTTTCTTCAGTTGAGGAAGCTAAATAATACGGCCTGGATAAGTTGTCTTTCCAGAAGGAGTGTAACATGGCTGACTGCAGGTTCCCTGAAATCGTTTAATCATTATACTGCTCAATGAGCCTAATAATAGACAATCACAGTAACTCTCTTCCACACGGAGGCAATGAGGAGTCTGATGGTACAAATTCAGCTGCTAACTAAACTGGTAGTTTGAACCTCTCCATCCAGAGAGAAACATCTGGTGATCTGCTCCTATAAAGTTACATTCTCTAAGACCTTCTGCGAAAGCCCCATTCTGTCACAAGGCATTGCTATGAGCTGCAGTAACAGATGTTCTTAATGTCTGGTACCGCTGATTCCAAACCAACTCACAGTGAGTCTTCAAAGGCAGTTAATCACACAAGAGATTACCCAGTCTACTCCTGCGGAGTACCTGGTGGATTCAGCCCAAGTGTCTTCGTGCTCTTTACCAAGAGACCACCTGCACTCCTTGTCTGATTCCCAAATCAAGCCATTCCCAAGTTGAATCCTATGCATGACATCATTTATGTCAGAGAAGAAACACACTCTACAGCGTTCAACCTCTATCTTATAAAAAGTGATCTACATATTGTTTACATAAGAAAAAACTATTTGTGCTGTGAAAGCTGAAGATGTTATTCCCAATCCCTCAGCTGCTTCTCTGTATTTTAACACAAGTAAGAAGAACCAAGGGCTTACCTGCAACATACAACTAAGTCCATAAATTAAGGGACCATGCTGTGCACAGGAAAGGAAATCCGAGAAGGCCAGTTGGACCGGGCTCACGCCGGGGCCAGGAGGGCCAGGGCTGGGTGTGCTGATGCTCGAGGCGTTTGGACCAATCATCATGTGGGGTGAGTGGGCAACAAGCAGGCCGGGGCTATCACTCAGCAGCAAGGAGAGGCGGCGAGCACAGAAATAGGCGAGACGACGAGACAGGTAGGCTGACTGGACAAACTCATCTGAATACTGACAAGCAGAGAGATGCCAGGTTTCAGTCACACTGATTGCTACTGAGCTAACAACACACCGTAACACATTTGGGGTTTTTTTTCCTCCATTAAAAGCAAAAATAACACTTATGGATATCAGTACAGTCTCAAAGAAAAATAATGACAGCCACGTTTATAATTTTAAACTTTCTAGCAACTATTCATACTAAGAAAACAACAAAATTGAAAAATATAAGCCTTTTATTTACACTAGTATATCCAAAATATTAGCATTTCAACATATAATCAATATACAAATTAATTGGATATTAGGCACTCTTTCTTTCCTACCCATTCTGAAATTCATGTGTACTATAACTTAATGAGCATCTCAATTTGAATTGGCTACATTTCAGAGACATAGTGGCAACCACTTAGTGGCTGTTCTTGTTTAGTCTAATCAAACTGGTTTCAACTCAAAGCAATCACATGTGACAAAATGTCCAATCGGGTTTTCTAGGCTGTAATCTTTATGGGAGTAAGTCATCAGGTCTTTTTCTCTTGAAGCCTCTAGGTCAGTTAGAACTGTTAACCTTCCAGTTAACAGACAAATGCTTAACCGCTCTGCCATGAAGACTATAATACACAGGATACCAGACCAGTGTGATCTCTGGGGCAAAGGGAGAATTACTCTTTTTCATCCAGTACCATTTCATATTGTATTAATTATTATGTGCATCTATGACCTACCTATGAAAATGTAAACTTTTAAAAATCTCACAAAAAAACAAGAACCACAGCCAAATTCAATCAGGACAGCAAACAACAAATACTGGTGAAGGTGTGGAGAGCTTATAACTCTAATACACTGCTTCAGGAATGAAAAGTGGTACAAACTACTATGGAAAAGCGGTCTGGAAGTTGAGAATAGAAATGCTATTTGACGCAGCAATCCCGGTACTAAGCTTCTATCTCAAAGAAATAAAGGACTGTCACACAAATAGATAAATGTGCACCCATGCTCACTGCAACTTTATTTATAACAGCAAAGAGATGAAAATAACCCGACTGTACATTAACAGACAAATTATTAAAAAAAAACTATGGTACATATACTCAGGTTTCACTCTGGCATATACTAGCCTTTGTTCTTTAACTAAAGATTTTCCAGAGTTGAAACCATTATGAGTTAAATGGCACAAAAACTATGGTACATACAATGAACTATGTAACACTGAAAAATGATCAATTCTTCAATTCACAAAACATTGAACTATACAGATGCATCTAGCAGACATTATGCTAACTAAGTCTCTAACAAAAGGACTAATACAGTGTATGACAACTATTATAACAAGCTAAAGGAAGGTTTATACACAGAATAATTCTTAGATGGTTACCAGGTATCAGGAAAGAAGGGTAGGAGAATAAAATTATTTTTTTAAAAATGAACTGGGTGAAGGAAAAGATAACATACAATAAAAGATTGATGGGAACCCCTATATTCCACTGTTTGGAATATGCTATTGTTGTTGTTATGTGCCGTCGAGTCGCCTGCGACTCATAGCGACCCTATGTACAACAGCCCTAAACTCCGCTCTGTCCTGTGCCCTAAGAAAATGAGAACTGAGACACAGAGATTTGTACACCAATATTCATAGCACGTTATTCACCATCACAAGAAAATGTAAACAGCCCAGATGTCTGACCACAATCGAATGGATTAGGAATGGTACATTCATACAATGGAAACTTATGCAGCATGCAGGAGCAATAATTTTGTAAATTACTGCCTAGCTTGGGAGGGACAGGACAGCATTATGCTGAGTCAACTCCAACAAGGATAAATATTGTATAAAGCCATTATTGTAGAATGAGTATGAGGATTCAAGGGGGGGCAGAAGCAGAGGGATGACTGTGTGGTGGGGCAGATTAATCATGGCTTGTACAATCTGATGGAGGAGGTGAGGGAAATTGAAAGAATCTGGTCTGAAAAATAATATTTGAATTTTTTAAATAGTGTAATTAAAAAAGGTTGATGAGACATTAATTATATAATCCAATTATAATTCATGCTATAAAACAAAATGTGTATGGATGATTGAATGAAAATTCAGTGATCTGTAAATTTTCATTCATACATAAAACAAAAATATATAGGAATAGAGTATCAAGCAAATTTCAGTTGTTAAAGTTAACAGATCTGAGACAATTATCCATCATTAATCATTACTCAAACAAGTTCCCTAACTCTCAGTGGTTCAAGGGAAGTTAAAAACTGTACAAGGTCTTCTATAGATCCTTAAAGAGATAATTTTCTTTTTGTTCCCCTAAGAATTCTGTGTGAATAAGAAGACAGTATTTAAAAAGCTGTTTGTTTAGCTCAATGATATGAAAAATCCATGTGCACAGTATTACTTTTAAAAAAGTCCTGTAGATAAAAACACAGAAGATGCTTAAATCAGTAGATTCTCTATCACTCACATGTTGTAACATCAATGGTATGTTTTCCCCTTCATTTTAAAACAAAATTGTTCCCTTTCACATCAACATACAAAATATTTCTTACCATAAAATTCTGGCTCAAAGGTCATGTACCGTACCTGCAGCATGAGCGGTAACAAGAGTTTAAGAAGATCATCATCCATTGGTCTAGTTTTTTCTAAAACATCCAGGATCCATGTCAAGTATTCATGTTTTTCAAGCATTCCTTCCTTAAATAAGTAACAAAAAAATTTATGCTAATTATGGTCTGTGCGTTGCTGTACAGAGGTAACTCGTGGTTGCTGTGATGCTGAAGACTGTGACAGTGATGTGCCAATCGTGGTAACGGGTACCCATGGTGGACAGTGTTGGCTGGAGCTTCCCAACTAAATCAAGCCTGGAAGCAGGAGTGGCATCCACTTCCGAAATGGCTTGCCTCCAGAAACTCTAAGTACGAACAGTGCTCAGGCCGTTTGTTCACAGGGTCGTTATGAGTCATCTACAACTCGACGGCACCTAACAACAACAACATATTAAAGCAAAAGCAACTAAAATGATAAAATGCTAAGCTTAGAAATTAGTAATAGCAGTCATGTTATATAGTCATTGCTGTACTAAAATATGGTTTCATGGAACAAACCTAAACAAATAAAGATTGTATTTGCTTGCTTGTTTTGTTAGTGCTCTTCTCTCTAGAATGAGGGGTGCAGAAAAAAAAATAACTATTTCTATGAGAAAGGAAATTCAGAAGCCCATAAAGAATGTTAAATCATTAGAGAGATTCCAGATAGCAAAAGTCCCTATCATATCACCTTCTCAACAAAGGGCTGCGAACTGCATCACATACACCTCTGAGTAAACAACCCCCTTCATTATTTTAAAGAATGCTAACCTAATTACAAAATATACTTTTAAAACTCAATAACATAAATTAAATATAAAGGGGGAAAAACATCCCAATTTCTCATAAAATAATGTATTCCAGTGTGGCAATCTAAAAAAACACAATACTTATCACCCACTATCCAAGACATACACAGAAACAAACTTCCAAAATGTCCCTTAAGGATGGCATAACAACTGTTGGGACCATTCATCTTAGCATAAGCACTAAGAAAATTTGGGGTTTATTGCCTTCATATTCTCACATATGTATATACAAATACTCTTTTGTGGCATTTTTGTACATATGCCTATATTAGGCCATATTATACTTGCACATTATGGATCACATATTAAATAATTTTTATCATTTCCAACAACCAATGTATTTTTGCTTTTGTAACCACATCTAGATTTCTACACACAAACATACTAGGACCAGTTTCATATTTCAAACAAATCTAATTGGAAAAATATTAAAAAAAAATTTAGAAGTTAACATTAATTTTACAATTCACTTCATTACTTTAGAACTGAATTGCTTCCTATATATAAAGTTCAATATTCCTACATATAAATTAATCCTTCCAAAAAATATTAGGCATGCTGGTACTGAAAAAAAAGGATACTTTTCCAAAGATACAGATTACAAGATCAGCTCAGTAAAAGTCATAAAAACTCAGCACAGACATAAAGCCATTCAACTAATAGGAATTAGGGTTGATAGGAGTTATTTTTACTGACCTAAGAAGTCACAGCAGTATTTCTCAAAATAACTAGGCCTTTTCCTAGTTTGAGTTTCTTGAAAATTTATAATTAGGATTCTATTGTGAAAATAAAATCACATACCTATTGTACCTCTCTTCTTCTTTGATCAAGGTAACAGATACTGAAAGTCTATCCAGTAACAGTTCATCTTAGCTTCCTCTCCCTCTGCTTTGTCAGGAACTGGGCCACTAGCAGCACAAGCGCCCTCTTCTGGTCAATACAATTTTTCTTAGTTTGTCTAAAGGAGAGTGCAGGGATTCCTCCCTCAACCCTTTTTGCAATGGAAACAGCAGCTGAATCTAATTAAGGTTTCCTTTGAATATTTAACCTCTGTATGAGATGGCTATGAGACAGGTGAGACCAACACAAAGGCAGTTCTGAATAAACATGTTTCATTTTCTAGTGCAATAACAGCTATAAATGAGCCAGTGCCGTCAACACCACGGAAAGTTGTGGATCACCATGTATCTATATATAACACAATGCAACTGTTATCTTTGAGCCATCGTGTCTTCTTTAACAAAAGTCAAGGTGAAAACTGTCAGCTGTCTTTGTTTATGCTGGTCATATATAGTGGTGGCGGTGGTTGTTCACTGCAGTCCACTTGGAAGCGACTCAGAGCTGACCCTTCAGCATGCTTTTCACAGCCTATAAATTGCATGGGAGGTGACTGTCCATCTTTCTCCCATGGAGCAGCTGGGGTTTGAATTGGTTGCCTCTGGGTTGACAGCACAACTCTTTATCATTAGGCCACCAGAGCTTTCCACATACAATTTAGATCACAGAAAACAGAACTATAAGGAAGCTTCTCACTTCTTCAGAGCATCCTACAGTGTCCAGTGCTTCCAAGAAAGCTCACCTGGAACATGTGAAAGGCCAGCCTTTCATTGTATTCCCACTGCTTCATGGCTTGCTCTACCTCCAGCGGCACAGACACAGGACCGTCACCTGTGCTGGGGCCCCCATGGTGAAAGTCAGAGATCTTGGCCAGCTGCTCTCGAAGATACCTGGTAGAAATCTGTGTCCACTCTGTATATAAAAATAAAACAGTAGGGAAAAGATGATCAGAATTGCTAGATATGTGTATGTTATGTTACCTGTGGCCTGGGTATCACTTTTCCTCCTCTTCTGTATTTCAGAAGTCAGGATAACAAAACTATCCAAGGTACAAGCAGGACAAAGAATAGTGCAAAGTGAGCACCTCAAGAAATTTCACTTTTCAAAAGAACTAAAAAGCCCTCCAAGCAGCTCTCTTACAGGAGTGTTTTACAGGCCCCAAATCAACTTTCAAACATAGCTAATTAAGATTTGATCTTTTCTGTCAACCTGTAAGAAGACTGTCATCTGCCAGGGTCTTGTGTGTGACAGCAGCATTCGGGCCTGCACATGTCCCAGGAGGTAAGAAGGGAATCGAGCACAACTAGTCTGTCCTCTCAGCCCACACTGGCGGCCTCAGAACTGAGAAGGGCAGGCAGACAACCAAAGGCAGGTGATCAGAGAGAGAGTGAAAGGGTAGCACTGGGGTGGCGGGGGGGGGGATCACTTAAAATTAAGTGGACTGACAATCTCAAGACACACATACTTGAAGCACAGCAAAACACCAACCACAGAGACAGAAGGCATTTATTTAGCTTAGCTATAATAAGCAAAAACAAAAATAACAAGGATCCAAGCCCTAGCTTTTCCATGCCAAGCCTTGCTATTAGCTCCCTCTCAGTATGGCACTATGCTCAATATTACCACAGAAAAAGATATGTCTCAATATCTAAAAATAACACCCACATGCACCCACTCTTATTTTGTCTAACATTAAATAATGTTCCAGTGCTCCCCCCCTTTCTTTGTGAGAGCTTGAGTCTTTATCTAAACACAGATCCTTTTGAGACTGTTGAACATACCACTGCTTCAGTGCCCTTTGGGAATCCATAGATGTTATAATCTCAATACTGTGTGTCAGCCATATGCACCTGACACTAAGTCTTACCAATCGGATTCTGAGATACAGAACAAGACAGACTATAGGGAATCAATATAAAAATAGGATGACTATAAGCAAAACTGTCATTAAAAATTGACAACAAACAGTAAAAGAGCAGCAGTATACTTTAAAAATTATTGTTGTGTGCCATCCAGTTGGAACCGACTCAGCTGATGCTCCTGTGAGTTTTCAGAGGCTGTAAAATGCACAAAAGGAACCTGTCTTTCTGTCTCCCATGGAGCAGCTGGTGGATTTGAACCACATGACTTCTGGGATGCCAGCTCAACTCCAAACCACTAATCCACCAAAACTTCCTCTCATGCTAAGGCACTGGCAACTAAAGGAGCATCCTGGAGAATGGAACAAAGGCCTGGTGATCACTCCCTGAAAATCAGCCCCAATAAACCCTCCACAGCATTATTCTGCCCTAATCATGGGAGATCACCTGGAGTGGGAAATAATGCTATGGCTATTGTTAGGTGTCATCAAGCCGCCTGCGACCCATAATGATCCTATGTACAACAGCTCTGAAGCCTGCCTTGTCCTGAGCCAGTCTCACTGACTCTGACACACCAACCCCCATTGCCCTAGTTACTGTATCAATCCATCTCATCAAGAGTCTTTTTCTCCTTCGCTCTCCCTCTACCCTTCCAAGCATAATGTCCTTCTCTAAGGATAGTCTCTCCTGGCTATGTGCCCAAAGTAAATGAGACGAAGTTTCAAAATCCTAGCCTCCAAGGAGAGACTTGGTTATTATCCACCTCTCTGATGCATAGCAAGCAATTGCAAAGCCAATGGACTGGATCAGGTGCACCTTAGTCTCTAGACTGACATCATTGCTTTTCAGTACTCTGGAGCGGTCCTTCACACAGAATTTCACCATGCAATTCATCTAGCTGGGGTTATTTTGTTTGCTTCTATGGAAAAATACTCTTCTCTGACATTACAGTTCAAAGGTATCAATTCTTCTGACAACCTTATTCACTTAGTTCTCAAACGGACAACATCGCTCCTCAATAATCTGACAAGGTCCCTGACTGCAATACGACTTTCCCAATGCAATGTATCTCCTGATCTCCTGACTGCTGAGGATACACACAGTCAAATGCCTTTGCATAGTCAATAAAGGAAAAGCAGATATTCTTTGCTTTTAGACAGGATCCATCTGGTCAGCAATGATAGCCCATGTGGTGCTGGAGAAGAGTATTGAGAATACCACGGACTGCTAGGAAAACAAACAGATTCATCCTGGAAAGGGTTAAACTGGGTGGCTCTTTGGAGGCAAGGATTCTGAGGCTCTGCCTAACATACTATGGGCATGTTGTGAGGAGAGACCGGTCCTTGGAGAGGGACATCATGCTTGGGAGGGTGGAGGGACAGCACAGGAGAGGAAGGCCCTCTATGAGGTGGATTGATTCAGTGACTGGGATAATCGGGATGGGAGTGTCAGAGACAGTGCGGTTGGCACAGGACAGAGCAGAGTATAGGGCTGTTGTACATAGGGTCGCTATGAGTCGCAAGCAACTCGATGGCACATAACAACAACAACAACAACAACAACAACAACCACATGGACAGCCAAAAGAATAGCCAGATATGTCTTGGAGAAGGTGCAGCCAAAATGCTCTTTGGAGGCAAAGACAATAAGCTTTCTCTCAAATACTTTAGGCATGTTGCTAGGAGAGGCTATTCCTTGGAGATGGACATTATGCTGGAAAGGAGATGGACAGTAAGAGAGAGGAAGAGTCTCAACTAGATGGGCTGATATAGTGACTACAGTAATGGGCTCAGTGTGTCAGAGACTGTGAGGACAACACAGGATAGGACAGGGTTTGCATCTGTTGTTCACAGGGTGGCTGTGAGTCATACCCAACTAGAAGGCAGCAAACAACAAGAAGGAAGCATAAAAGCAGAACATGTTTCCTTTGAACTTGAGCTGTGGTTCTTAGTCCTAAAAACACAAAAGAAATCACCAGGGAAGCTTTAAGCAAATTTGAGTGTCACAGGGCTCACTCCTACAGATGCTGATTTACATGGTCTTGAAAAGGACCTAGTTTCAGGTAATTACATAGACAACTGGATAAGAATCTCAGGGAAAAGAAGAAAATACGCAGGAAATAGTTGAGTCAACTCTAACAGCAATTCTAAACTGAAGCAACTTGGAAGGCACAGCTACATCTATAGTTCATTGATACTGAGTTTAAAGTCTATGAAGTCATATTATTAAAAACTTAATGAACATGAAAGCTATTGAGTGGTACCTGGGGTCAGGAATGAGAATAATGACCAGTCTTTTTTGGCATGTTCTCCTTAGTACCCAAGATCCCAAAGCCACTGTTTAATTTTGTCTATCAGGCATATATTTCACTGTGTCCTCCTAAATGTGTATATGTGATGATGCTATATGTAAGTTATAGGATGAATCAAGTGACCTGGAACAAGATATTCAACCTCTTGAAGTTTCTATTTCCCTAAGTGTGTAAATGAAGATAAAGAGGAGTGGAATCCAGTTCCTAAACAGCATGCCTCCAGAAACTGATAAATGTCAATAGTTATAAAAAGGCTTCAGGCCTTTTGTTCATAGGATTGCTATGAGTCATACTTGACTCGAAGGCAATCAACAACAACAACAATACAACTCAATGTTAGTAAGGACAAAACAGCACAGGTTGATAGCAAGCTGTCAATGAGAGCTATCCAGATAAACAGCAAAGAGGTCTCCTGGCGGAGTCTACTGACCAAGAGATGGACACCAAATTCCACCAGTCCCTCCAACAGATAAAGATGGGCAGTCTCCTCCTCTAAGGATTTACAGCATTAGAAACCCAATAGGGAGTCACTTAGTCAAAACTGACTTGATGGAAGTGGATTTGGTGTGATTTTTTTGTTTGGGTATCAGGATAAAATGTTTTTAAGAAGATGACTAAAAGCTATAGTTGCCACCTGCTTTCCTAATGTAAGACTGTTGTTCTGTCTCAGCGGAGTTAACATGCAATGTCTAATAGTGGTAAGAAGTTGCTCTGCCAACCCAAAGAAAGGTGGTTCAAATCCACCAGCTGCTCTGTTGGAGGAAAATGTGCAATCTCTTCTTGTATGATTTAATGTCTAGAAATCCATTGGAGGTCAGCTATAAGATGGTTCCAATTCAATGTGACATTATAATAACACAAAGCAGCCCTGGCCGCCCTGTTGCGAGAAATGTGTGGCAGTTTGCCTCTTAAAAATTACAGCCTTGAAAATCTATGAGGCAGTCAGCAATGATTCAATGGCAGCGGAGTTTGTTTGGTTATGAAATATAATGTCTGACTAATGACCAGCTCTGTTTAAGTATTTTTAAAATCATCACTTCTAGATGCATCATTCAAAGCCTTTAATATGTTCTCGGTCCTTAATGAAGTAAGGCCAAGAAATGAAATATTTTTCAAACTCTATCTACCATTATTTACTTGCTCTCTACTAACTCAAGCTGCTTTTCCCAAAATGTGATAAAAAATTATTAAACTTTAAAAATGATAGTACTCTATCTAGAGTGCCCTCTTCACACACCTGGATTCATCTGTGGCAACTTTTCTGGCATCCATTCAAACTTCATGTCTACTAGGGAGCTCTTCCCCAGCCTCTGGGTACCACCTACCAGCTAACAGATTTCTCTCTCTTCAATAACCGTAACACCCTAACTCAGGATTCCTTCCATCTCTTTAAGTCACATCACATGGGTATGCTGTACACAGAGCCAACATCTAAGTCTGACTTGAATCGATACAGCAGGAAGTCTTCCCAAAATAACTATCAAATCAAGTCTCTCCCCTAATTTTCCTGCCTCTTAAATCTTCAAACTTTCTGTTGTCATTTTAGCTCAATCACTTCATTCTGAACACTCAAACACTGTGAGGGCATGCCATTAGAAACTTCATGAATATGAAAATAATGACCAATTTTTATAGCAATGTACTCCTCACCCAACAAAGGTTTCATCAAAAGTTTACAAATCCTGCAGAGCTTCTACACGAAAAAGAATGGTAACACAATTAGCAAAAATGGTCAAAAGACA